AATAAGATCGCGTTGTAGCAAAATTTTTCAAAAACACTTTTCGGGTTTCAGAATAAAAAGCTTATTCTCAACCTCCTCGGAATCATCCTTTCCGTACTGACAATTTCGCGAGTCCAGCTAAATTCAAAGAAACTTTTTTATTAGCTCAACATGAACTCAAAACTGCCTTTAATCAGCAGCCACCTTCAAAACACAGGTTTCTTTGATCTCTTGGCAAAAGGCTCTAATAGCAACCTTTGATCAACTTGAGAGGTACGAAGAAGCGGCAGTCAGGCTCTTAAGTGATACTTGGATGTTTCTGCTTTTTTACTTCCTGCTAGCTATGACCACTAACAGATTTTTGAGTTTCATAAAGATTATGGACTAAGGCAAATGTAGCTTCTATTATAGTACGAAAAGTTAGAAGAAGAACATAAGAATGTACTATAAAATCTAAGGCATGTGCCAGTTTGACTTCATTTGAAGTGTTTTGGCAGTTCTTCATCCCTAGTTTCTATAAGAAGCATTCGAACGCAATCTAGTAGTAGCTCAAAGCAAGGCCATACATCTCTAAATGTTGCCTTGGTGGTTCTTCTTTTGGATGGCAAAACCGCAAACTTAATCTATCTTTTTGTTTATACCAGCACGTGTCGCGCTTTTTGGTGTTTAATGCCTGCTTTGCACATCTTTTTCGAGCAAAGCAGATTCTTATCGTTGAAAGACCTCGAAGATCTTGAGAAAACGGATCTTTCGGAAAAATTAATTGGTACATTGTATGAACTGTAGAGGATTTGTCTATGCAAGTACACATAGTAGGGAAATAGTATTTTCCTGCTGGAGGAGTTAGTTCTTTTCAAGATTTCTATGTGTAAGGTCAGACTTCTGACATGCGTCAACTTTCAAAAACAGTTCTGATTGATATAACCAATTTTTTCTTATTGGATGTTCTGAATCTAAGTTTGGCTATATTTTAGGAAAGTATTTGAAAGCTCGCAGACGTTTTTTCTGCGACTGCCTCGCTATGTAGACAAAGAAAAACCTTTGAAGTCTTTCGTCAAACAGAATGCCTAGTCCTCTCTGACAAATGAAACCACCCGACACTCGATGTGAACATTCGGTCCGGAATGGCAGAACAAATTTGAAGATTGTTATGACTTTACTAAGCTCGTATACATATGCTGCAGAGCTTTCGAATTGTGCCAAAAAAGGAATTTCTATCTTATTTGACGCATGTAAAACTATCCACAACTTTTTGGAGTTTGAGAAACTCAGAACGAATCAGAGATATTTCCGCGGCGAAAATGAGGCAACAAAAAGTATATTCGGCTTTGATTTACTTGTTCCACTTTTGGAACATTCTTGTCATAATGAAGATCTCCTCATAAAGAAGATCAGGTCAAATTTATATGATGCCGAACTTCACAATCTTTTCCTAGTAAAAAGTTTTTGGAAAGATGATAATTTCTGAGGTAGTCAATCGAATTCTTCAGGACATTGGAGTGAAAGTTATTATGGGGCCGTTTTTCCAATTCTAACCGTCTTTCATTTTCCAATCGCTGATTTGCTGTGACATTGTGCAATATAGAAAATGTTTAAATAGTTTCGACTGTAGAAGAGGTTGGACAAGCTTATTTCGATGCCTGAATTTTTTTTTTGAATGTGTAGGACCTCAAAAAGATTTTTATGGGGAGACTTCAAAGTTTTTACAAATCCTCATAGGGAAATTTTAGAAATGAGTTGCACTAGCTAAGCCAGAATGAATTTAAAGGCTTTTTACTCACGAATAGGATTAATTTGTTTCTCTATATTTATTCTCTCTCCTTCCCTGTCTTTCCACTTCCCTTCCCCCCCCCCCCCTTCCCACCGAAGCTGAAAGAAAGGTATGCCTGAAGGATCAGTTTGCAGATGATGAAATGTTTCAGTATAACAAGCTTAAAACACCGAATAAAGAAACGCCAAAGGGACCTCGAAATTGTATTTACTACTATATCTTGAACGTTACTCACGATCTCCATCGCAGTGTTTTTTGAAAACATCGGACATATTTTATATTCGTTTTAATTTAACCATTCTCGCGTTTTCTATCAAGAGAGATCTTTTGAAAGCATGGCCGTATAACCATGCAAAAATGTTTCGTAGGGATAATTTTTTTCCAAAATTTCTTAGCCTCCCCTCAATGAAGGAGATTCTTGCAGTAATCTCTTGCATCTAGCTTTTTTGGATGTTTATGTTAGTAAGCACGTGGTTGGAGAGTCGTCAAGGAACACAAACGCCATCATTATGTGCACTGATTTCTATTCCCGAAGGAATGGAGGCCCTTCAGACTGATGATCAATGTCTTGTTTCTCAGTTTCATACACTCATTTTGAAGGGTTTTCAAACGCTGTCATCCCCTTCATTACTTTTGAAGGCTTAGTGGGTGAATTTTGGCTATTTTTGGTACTCAGAAGATCCCATTTCGATAAGATGGGTTTGTTTATGTCATATGTCTGTGTATGCGTGTGTCGCGGCAACTGCTCCTCCCACTTATTCATCTCTTTGTGTCGCAAAGTTCACTTTCGAACAACCTAACTGCCGCAAACTTCTCCCGAAAAAGGATCTGCTTCGCTAGTTTTTAGCAAAAATGACGCTATTCTCATTGGTTTGGAATATGGTTAGTTCTTCTTTTACTTTTCATTTGCTGAAAACCAGTGACATGTACTCAGAGTCTTGGATTTTTGAAATGAAAAACAATACTAAAAACTTTCCGACCCTTCCCATTTCTTTTCGACTCCTCTCTTCTTCTTCCCCTCTCTATCGCATCGCTTGAAGCTTACTTATGTGAAATATAAGAAATACTGAGACTTTTGCTTCGCATGAATCTTCGAACTTGGTTCCCAAAGGAACCCCGAATGCCACTTTTCGGTTATATGCATACATAGATTTCATCTTTTTGTGCGAAAAACAAAAAGGCCATATCTGGCACACTTTTTAGTTTACATTCCATCAATTTCATGGAGAGAAGCTTCAAATTTATGGGTTGACTAGAAAGCATTAAGATTTTAAAATATTCCAGTTTTTTTTGCTGTATACATACATAGCTCACGGCTTTGGAGGTTTTTAAAATTTACATAGGAAAATTTTGTGGTGCTAAGAGTAGATAGGTCTGAATCTGATCTTTCAAGGAGTAAAATGTTATAATTTCATCTAGAGTTTGACAAAATTTAGTACAAAGTACGGACTTCCAAAACTTCACTGACCAGAAATTTCTAAGCTGATTCAGACCAATGCACAATAATCTGGTATTTTACATCTTTACATCACCACACTTCTTTTTCAGATTCTAGCTTCATTAGAACTTAAATTTTACCAATACCATTGTATCAAAGGGCTGCTCCAGTTGAAAAATTAGAAAATTACTTCTTTTGCTTATGAATACATGAAAGAAGCTAACCACAACTGGGTTTTACTGCACGGAAAAAATATTTGCTTGCGCTCTGCAAAGATCCATCTAGCTCGCATGGCCATAGCCTTCAAGATATAAATCATTCTCGAAAATTGAGCCATTTTTCCAAATGAACCGCTTGAAAGGCACGAATTGTTGCAAAGCAAATGAAGAAAATATGCTTTCGCGATTCTTACTAGGTAAGGATAACTGGTGAACATGGCCGTTGAAAATATGTTATTCAGGATCTTGTTTTAAATTGCTGATCTCAAAACTATGTTATTTGCGGAACGCTGTTCTGAGAAGAAATACTTTTCTGAAAAACGAACGCAGAAATATTCGCACCAGCAGAGAGCAAACCGACCTCCATTGCGCAGTGATTCACAGGGATAACCAGTAGACCATTCGAGACCTTTTGAACATATCGAAAATAATGGTGCTCTTGTGCAAATACGTCGAAGAGGGGGAATACGGTTTTTCCAAAATATCGTTCTGCACAGCGTTTCAAAGCGAATGTCATGGCATATGTGACATATTATATAGCCACAACCACCAATTATCCTTTCCCATTACCTCAAAGTTGCCTTAGTCTGAGGGTGAGCGTGCTGCAAAATGGTTGCCTTGCATTTGTGCGACTTTTTTTTCAAAAATTCAGCCGGTTTTTGCCGCAGTAATTCATTCGTTCTTCTCCTAAACAATAAGTTGTTAAGTTTGACTTCTTCTTCCAACTCTGACAGACGATTGCTTATTTGAATAGAAAAGGAAAATTTTTGCGTTTTTTACAGAGCTTCAAACGCAATTGTACAACGGGTCAAGAAAAACAGGCAAAGAGTGGTTTCCTGGAATTCGGTCGCTGAAATTGCTGAAACATTCATTAAACTGTGGTTTTGATTTTATAACCTGCCCTTCCTCTTAAAATAGTTTCTGTTAATAGGTTGTCTCTGCGAATGGTTATAAAATTTGATTATTTCAGTCAACCTTTTCATGTTAATTCAAACAAAGTCCTGATTATGCTTTATAAAATGAAACATTTATTATATGTTTCAAAAACAGTTATATTTAGAAGCCTTGGTAACTTTTAGAACGCACATTTTGTTGCAAAATCTATCGACTTTATCAACCTAATAGTTAGTTCTTGGCTAATTAAAAATATCATTCCCGGTCAGTTTGCAAATCTCAGTTTTTACTGCCGTTTTGAGCAAAATTTATGGAGCAGTCTTGTAAGTATCGTGTCAGTTGAAACGATTATTTGTAATTTTGAAAGAATGGATCGCGTCAAAAATGAAATTGAAACTGATGTAATTGTCATGCGAAAAAGAACCGAGAGAAATTGTTAAAATTGCACACTGCACAAAAACGCAAATACTTCTCGTTCATTGGGTAATGTTCTGGCTTGATTAAACACAATACTATACTCTTCTCCGATTTCTAAAAACATTAACCATGCTCACAAAAATGTTTTTCATAGCAACCTTGCTTAGTTTCGTTCTGGGACCCAGTCCTTTTTTCCTGAATCCCATCAAGTATTACTTCCTTTCCTTTTCTTGTTTTTATTGAAGATTGCAATTGAACGACTTGCGTAATCGTTTTTTTTCAGAGCAAAAGCGAGGACTCGATGTCGGATCAGTCATTATCGCTGCACAATGATGTAAGTTCCTCTTTTGCGGTGTCGTACATTGTCGCTCGCATTAGTTATTTATGGCATTCCGAATGCAGAATCGTTTCCAATAAAAAGAACAACGAGCCCTCAAGCGTTTATCTTTTCTAGCCGCCCTTCCCATTGTGAAAGCCCTCTTATCTTTGGCTAAAGCTTGTCTCGGCGATCATCACATCCATTTACCACCTTAGTTCAAGGTAATTTATCAGTCTGATCGCTTTCCAGCACTTATGTGAATGTGGGCGAGGACATTGTCACTTATCACTTGAAGTTCACTTAAGGACGTTCGTGACGTCAATCCTTTGTCTAGTTTGGGAAAATCTATCACTCGTATCTGATTTGAGTCAGCGGAAAATATGCCTTGTAACAGCTGAATCATTCGACATCCCCAAATCTTCAGCAAAGTCGTATTAGACTCCTTCTCTAGATAATCAAGCTGTTTTCGTTTTCTTAGCAGACTCAGGGTTCCATTCTACAGAGCGAAGCAGGTTCTACGAAATGACAACAAAAATCCACCATTCTCGTAATTTAGGTAATTTTCGGAGAGAAAATTTAGAATTTTCAACTCTCCCAAATGTTAAATCTCCTTGAAAAAGATTCCTACGGACCTCCGATTTGGTCATCATAAATTATATACTCAATATTCATAAATGTATTTGCTGGTTTTTTCCGCGCACGAAACAAGATAATTTAATAAAACTCCAAAATTGGGAAACTCCGCCCTCAGCCCCTCCCACATATGTTGTACAGGGTGTCCCAAAAGTATATACACTGTTTGATAGTTATTATCTGTTCTCCCAAAAAGTCATTTGCCTACTTCCAGGCACCATTTTGTAGAGCTGCCTTCAAGTTAGATTTACAGATGAAGTGAATCACTGACCGCTCTACGTTACTGTAGGATTGCGTTAGAAACAAGCAGAATTTTCAGCCATAAGGGGCCCTATTTTGCCTCAGAAAGCAAACAACCTAAAAACTTTTACACTAGGCTATTCGAGCCAGTAAAGCCAAATATGAAGTTTGCACTTTACCGCAATGCTCCCTTTATAAGTTATGCAAGGTAGACCAATGGCTATTCTTACAGTGCTCCATAAAATCGTTATTACACCATTTAAAAAGCTTTCCAAGCTCGTAAAAACTCGAGTAATAAAATCAGCGAGCGTAAAAACCCTGGTACACCACTTTTCAGATTTTTTGGAAACTTTTTTTTGGAATATGGTCAATGCGCAGTGACGCTATAAACTGAAAATTCCTACCGTAATCCTACAGTAGTGAAAAGCGATCGATGATTCGCTCCATAATGTACTAAGTTGAAGCCAGCTTTGCCCAATGGTAACTGAAGTTGGATGAAAGACTTCTTGAGGAGGGAGATATTAATGACCAAACGGTGTATACATACTTTTGGCACACCCTGTATATTGCAAGCCTTAGTTATAAAAACGTTGAAACTACACCTTCATTTGTGTTAGTAATTAAGAAATTTCAGCATAAAAAACCCAAAAAAAGTGCATTTGCATTTTGGGCCCTTTCTATTTCTTAAAGCGGTTTTCAGAAAAACATAGCAAATGCATTTGATTTTTGTACGATTTCTTTTCCGACGCAATCTACAAGTATAATACATGCAAACAATCGAATAAAACCAAACTGCCAATAGTTGGGGTCCTCATTTTTGCATAGAATTATCTTTACAGAGTATACTCTCTCTTGACCGTGAGCACCTGCTTTTGTGCAATACCAAAATTTCATCCTCGCCCCCTCCCCCTCACTCCCGCTTTCTCCAATCTGCTAGGACGTTTCGTGTCTATCGAAGATTAGCGTAATAGTGCGTAATTAGAATGAACATTGTTTATCAAGTGGGCCAGGCACCATTGTAGAACCAAATAAGGATCTGAAGTGCTAGCTTTTGAATAATGCTGAAAATCCTCAAGAAATTTGTACTTTTGTCGCCTTAATTGTTACGAAGAATCGCATAAGAAAAAAAAGCATTTTGACTTGACCCGAAGAAAAATCATTAGGCTTTTTCTTATCAACGGCCAGTGCAACTCACAACTCAAAACTCTTCTCAGTTTTCTTGGTTAGTCAGATTTCTGAGAAAAGCGAAGATACTAGCAGTGTTGAAACACCATAATAATTCTCATGGGCCTGATGGAAGTTTGATTTATCCTAGTACATAGACATTTATGTGAATAGGCATAATTCTTCTGCAAACAGCAGTAAATCGTCTTTCCATGCTCAGGCTTCCTGGAGTAGAGATTTTTCCAGTCCCATAGCTATATAGTTTTTTCCTAAAGCCTTCTCTTCTTTTTAAAGGAAGAATGACAGTCCTGAATTTCAGAGATTGTTGCTTTGGATTACGGTAAAGCAATCAAATTCGCAAATTTCGAACATTCCTTTTACATCGCTGGGTATTGAAGAAGGCAATGAGTATGAAACAGCAAACATATTTTCGCATAACCATGCTCTTTCTTCCACACAATTGCCTAAAATGGTCAATCGCAACTATGAGCTTTTGGAAACCATTCAAATCTTGGACCAATCACAGACTGACATGGCGCCCTATTAAAAAGAAAATTTCTGCTCAGTTTTTCCTATCGAATCTTTCACCAAAGAGAATTAATGACTAGAACTTTTCCAGAATAATGTGTTCAATTACAGAAAACTGTAGTTCTGAAATAGTGCTGATTTGTGTTAGGTTGCTGCATAACTCTTGCACCAAAATTTATGGAATTCTGTTACTCCCTCCACCTTCAATGAGGTCTTCCTTGATACATACATAATGTAGGGAAAATTTTGCGCTTTTTTGCAGGTGTTCGAGTCAAAAATCATTGAAGACAGGTTACGATATGAGCTGATTAAGAGAAATACTCAAACAGTAGTTCTTGATGTTTAATCACTAGAATTGCTAAGACGTCTGATAAAATTTAAATTTATTCTTGATTTTGGATTTATGACGCTCTTTCTGATTATGATAATTTTATAGTGATTGGATGTCTTCGCGAATAGTTATGTTTTCGATTTTTCAAGCTGATTTATTTTGCTTCATGTTGGTTCCCTAAAATGTTGATATACATAACAAAGAGCATAATCCGTAAATTGACCATTCTGTTGGAGCATTTTCAAAATGTTTTTTCTGTTTTTCAGTTCAAGAATTGTGTTTCTACCTAATAACCAACTCCCCTTTTCCCTAGTTACGTCTCAAAATAACTTCAAGAGGTAGAGATGGGGGCAAGAGCTAGTAAATTAATTCTGCGCAGCTTTGATAACATAATAGAGCGAGTTCTGACACGCGCACAAACCACAGAATAATGTATCCATAAGCATCAAAGAGCCTCTGACGTATGTCCTGCTACGTCCGCTGACGTAGCCATATATTCCAGGCTCATTTCGTGTAAGTAGACCTGATTGCGAATTTTGCTCCAAGCGGCCTAAATTCTTTGTTTGCTTAAGGAATGAGAAAACCATACTGATTCCTTCAGCACTTCCGTTTTTCATAGTAGCTCGCAAGAATTTCTTCAACACATCAAAATGGTAGTTTATTTTGATATTTTTCTTCGATCACTACCGAGATTACGATGAGAAAGTTTGTGCGTCAGTCCTTTGTTTACATATAATTGTCTTGCCTATCGTCTTTAAAAAGTATTCAATTAATTCAATTTAAATTATCTGCTCTCATTCACTAAGTGAATTATCCGTCCTCGTTCTACATTAAGCCATTTTTTTTCACCAGTGCTGAGAGCCCAATGGTGTTTTTGCACTACGGTCCCAAAGATTTTTGGTGGAGGGGGGGGGGGGGGAAACAAAATCTGCTTACGGATCTGGAGGTGTGGCGTCAGCCACGCCTTTCGAAACATTGAGATACTTTTTTCTGCTCTTCGCATGTCTGTCACCTTGGAATAAAAAAACGGATATGGAGCATGCACTAATAAAATTTCATGCAATTTATAGTATTATTGCTAAATACAATCAACAAAATTTGTATAAGATTGACTATCATAATCTACTTACCTTCCTATTTCTTTTCGCAAACTGGTATTATTTTTATCCTCTCAATCAAATTCTAACTAACTAGAGTTGGCCATAAGGTACAGTACCAACACTGCCGCCTTGAAATCCTGCGATATAAACGCGTTGTCGCGCCAAAAATGTCGCATTGCCATAGCTCGCTTGAACCTCAACCACTTGAACTCTAGGTTAGATATTTGTAATCAGCGCCTTCTAGACAATCTAAAAGTGTTTTCAAAAGTTCTGAAATATCCTTCACAGAGATCTTTTTTTAGGACCATCGGCGGTATAAACGCATTGTCGCGTTGGTATCGCCGCGCCCCCATAACTTTCTTCAACTCAAACATATGAAATTCTGGTTCGAATATTTGGAGCCAGCGTCTCCTAAGCTACCGAAAAACATTTTCGAAAATTTCAGAATCTTGCTTGCAAGTTTTTTGGCTCCATGCCAGCGGCGATCTAAACTCAATGTCGCGCTGGAAGCGCCGCATTACTGTAACTCGGCTCAAAGTCTTTCAGCTGAAATTCCGATAAGATATTTGAAATCAGCGTGTTTTTATCTACTTACGGGTTCGCTCAAACTTTGCAGATTCTTTTGTCTTGGTACGATTCTACATTATTGAGCAAAATGTACGACGATATGAATGCCATGTAGCGCCGGAAAAGCCGGATTGGTGTAACTTTCTTCACATTTTCCCCAGCGAGTTCTAATATTGATATTCGGAACAAGCGAGTTCCAAGCTATCTGAGGATATGCTCAAAATCTGCGATATTTCAAATTTTTTCCCCAGATTTTTTTGGTCCCCGATAGTGCCCTAATTAACCAGGCTGCTCTGGCCATAGCTGTAGTGACCTCATTGTATCGATTAATTATCAAAGTTATCAAGATGATGACACATGACAGATGTTGCTGTTGAAACATATACGTAGTCTGACTTATAATTCTAGAATCATTTACGGCTTTCATGAATTTCAATTTGAAAAATCAAATTTAGTTTAAAAAAACGGATAATTCCAAAAGTTGACTTCGTAACATAAGTAGAACAAGCATCGAAATGCTTTCGACTTGTCAATGTGCTGCTGGCTAATTTAGCTCCTCAAGAACGAGTCAGCTCGCGCACGCTAGGTGCGAATTTCACAGCCTCATAATTTTCAAAGCTATTCATCTGTGGCCAAATGACTTCGTAATCTGTGGAATACAAGGACTCTTGTAACAAATTAGTTCAAATTCGGTTTGTTATATGAAGTCGTTTTCCAGATACGTGGTTTTGAAATAAGGTACGCGTGTTCCATTGCCGACGTGGTGGCCGCTGGCCGTGATTTCCCAAGGCCGCGATACAAAAGATAGATTGATTAAAGAGTCAAAACTTCGTCTATGTTCTATGTAGTACCTGCTGTTCAAATCATCTTGGAATATTCGATTTTGAGAAGGGAGCTGTCTGGTGGCCGGTGGAAGTGTGCAAAAAAATATCAATTTCCTGCAAATTTGGACCAAATCCAATGTTATCTTAAACCTGCCAGCTTGCACTTATTTTGAACCTCCGTGAAAAATGCTACTTGAAAATGTATGAATTAGATATCTTAGCATCATCTAAATATCCCTCATTTTTGCTTCTTTCTTAATTACGGCTGCCATACCTAATTGGGTGCTCCTGCACCCAGATCTCTGCACAGTTGGATTCGCACCTAAAGGCGTTATTCGCGGCTTAGCTAATTAGGTAGCAGAGAACTCGAGTTAATCCTTAGAGACTTTACTTTCATTTGAAGTGCGCTTGGAAGAACCATTTTTACATTTCATTTCATTTTTCAAACGATTTAGCAGAAAGTTGTGGCATGATCACTTTGTCAAACCTTCAGTATTTTTCTAATAGATTGTCCGTATCACAAAATACCACTTTATTACTTTATCTTTTGGGTGTGCCATAAAAACTCTGTCAGGAGCCAAAATATGATTTGAAAAATTCCAAAAATTTTTTGAACTTTCAAATGCGCAAAGTATCCATATTTTTGGAAACTGTATATTTCGGACAGCTTGGCGTCGATCATGCATTCTTCCTTCATCGTCTGGGCATTCTACTGAATGGAGATGGTCAAGAACGTCTGCTCCCAAGTGACACAGCCGTGACCATGGGAGCAAAGTTATCGACGATGTCATCCAGATATCGATTGATTAGGAGATTTTGCTCAATAGTCGCAAAATTTGTTGTAAGTTTACGATGAAACGTAACCTCAGTGAAATAACGTTGCTCGCAAATCGATAACGCTGAAATGAATAGGTCGAATTTGAAGAATTCATATTTCGAATTACAAAAGGAAAGCTTGAAATATCAAAAAATAAAACCTGAATATATATATATATCTCAAAAAATTCGATATAAGAATTCTTCAAATCCCCTTAATTGAGAAAGCTCCAACCTGTAGCGTCGAATTTGACCGCAAACGGGCACATGACCCACCAAAATTTTTGGGAATTATAACGATGGCTTATGTGCCCCCGCTTCGTTTCCACTGGCATTTTCACAGCAAGTGAAGGGTAATGCATCTTGTAAGATAATTGATAAGTTTTCGAAATGCAACGCTACAGAAAATGATATTTCACAAAGCCTGAGAAGATAAATTATCATATTTCTGGGAGGATGAAAGCACTGACTTCGGAAAGATTAAGAGAAAATATCAGATTTTTGGCTTTGAAAACTTCAAAAGACCCAGGAAAAATTTGCGACGCAAAAAGCTATTTCAGTTTTCGTACTTTCGCGAGAATTATGTGGCTGAATGTGGAGATTTTGATTAGCGAGAGATTCGAAATCAAAACCCATAAAGCTCTCATGTATAAAAACTTCATTGTCACAAATTCGAAGTTACGAATTCAAAAGACAGATTTCTTACACCATGATTGAATGTAAATTTTTTACGATATTTGGGTGGCACTCGTTACATTCTTCATCTGAGAACATCCGGGCAACTGAAGTGCCTTAGGCCCTGTCCAATCAGTAAAGGTTGGCATCTTTATCTTTCTTGAGCATACTCACTAACAATTGGGCCACGATGACGACGTGCTTGTTCAGAAAAAGTGAATTGCTGGAAATTTCTTTGATTTCAAACACTGACCAATCCTAAGAAAATTTCACGATCTTTTTGATTTTGTCATCGCAGAAATCGGAAGTCCTTGGCCATACTAGCCTTGCTCCTGAAAATCTAGTTTGCGCTCGCAATCCAACTTAATGATTTTCAAACTCTGCGTAAGATTTCTAAAACATTCTCAATTCTCACTGTGCTAGAGTATTTGTGAAACAAAAACTACTTTATTTCGTAGTTTCATGACATCTTCAAAGCTAGTTTTTGTGATCGTATGCTCTAGCGATCCACTCAGAGATCATGTCAATAAATAGGAGGCTGAGAAATGACTGAGAAATGTCAAAAACTCAACTAAATCTAGTCGATGCTGGAAACTTGAAATCTTTTCAGTATTTATAGGTTAAAAATTTTGCTATTTTCATGTGAGTAACATCATAATTTCTACAGGTCGCTTTTCTTTATGAATTCAGTTTTGAAAACTTTTGACCACTAAGGATGAAGGTAAATTTCTGAATTGATCGATATGTGGATGGCATTCACTATATAACTTCGCACCTTTGGACGTGACTGTGTCAGCTGGGTGCAGGTGCCCTGCATCGGCTCGACTAAGTAATTACAAGATCAAGCAATGCCTGTTGTAGTGGTGGCAAGCCATTCAACTTGTGGGAATTCAGAAAACAGCAAAACACACATGTAAAATCTCCGTGAATTTTGAAACAAAAGTTTTTTCGTTCAATATTTCAGGAAAAGTCCCATGGTTCAGTCACAAAATTCAAATAATCTAAGTTGATGTGAAAGATGGGACATCTAAGATGAACAGATTATTTTGTTCGTGCGTTCATCCGCTGAGTTACTTTATGTTGACAAATAATTTGTTCCATTTTGAAAAAAGAATAAAAAAAAAAAGAAAATTTAAATTGGTTGCTAAGATTAATAGTAGAAGATCCAACTGTACATTTTCGAGTGGCATTTTTATTGGAGATTCAAAATGTGTGAAATTATCAGTCTTCAAATGGACTGGAATCGGTCGAAAATTGCAGATTTAACGTTAATTTTGCACTTTACCAAGTCTCCACACCGTTCCTCTTGGAACCAGATATTCAGGAATGATCATCTCGAATATACCATTTTATATAGTGAAGAAATTTTGGCCCTACAATGGCCGATTTGCAGTGCGGTCTTGACAAAGTGGCATCACATTGTCAGTAGAGCATGCGTACCTGATTTCAAGTGCATGTATCTGAAGAAATTTACATATGATAGACTCAGATCAATCCGTTCGGTTAAACAATTACTTGGACTATACTGATAGAAAACTAGTTTGCTATAGGCACGTGGCATCAAAAATTACAAGTCATTGAAATCCGTACTAGGCTTCTGCGAGATGATCTTTCCATAAACATCCAAATCAAAATGCATCAAGGTTGATAGAGGAAATTATTGATAAAGCATTTTAATGCCCACTGTACTTATGTCACGAAACCAACTTTTCGAATTATCTGGTTTTTTAAAAAATTGAAAATAATTTTTCAGATCGAAAAATTCATGAAAAAATAATAGAATTATGAGCCAGACTACAAATTATGTTTCAACAACACTTTCATGCGCCATCATATTGATAACTTTGATATTAAATCGATACAATGAGGTCACTACAGCTATGACCAGAGCCAGCCTGGTTAATTAGGGCACTATGAGGGACCAAAAAAATCTGGGGAAAAAATTTGAAATATCGCAGATTTTGAGCATATCCTCAGATAGCTTGGAACTCGCTTGTTCCGAATATCAATATTAGAACTCGCTGGGGAAAATGTGAAGAAAGTTACACCAATCCGGCTTTTCCGGCGCTACATGGCGTTCATATCGTCGTACATTTTGTTCAATAATGTAGAATCGTACCAAGACAAAAGAATCTGCAAAGTTTGAGCGAACCCGTAAGTAGATAAAAACACGCTGATTTCAAATATCTTATCGGAATTTCAGCTGAAAGACTTTGAGCCGAGTTACAGTAATGCGGCGCTTCCAGCGCGACATTGAGTTTAGATCGCCGCTGGCATGGAGCCAAAAAACTTGCAAGCAAGATTCTGAAATTTTTGAAAATGTTTTTCGGTAGCTTAGGAGACGCTGGCTCCAAATATTCGAACCAGAATTTCATATGTTTGAGTTGAAGAAAGTTATGGGGGCGCGGCGATACCAACGCGACAATGCGTTTATACCGCCGATGGTCCTAAAAAAAGATCTCTGTGAAGGATATTTCAGAACTTTTGAAAGCACTTTTAGATTGTCTAGAAGGCGCTGATTACAAATATCTAAGCTAGAGTTCAATTGGTTGAGGTTCAAGCGAGCTATGGCAATGCGACATTTTCGGCGCGACAACGCGTTTATATCGCAGGATTTCAAGGCGGCAGTGTTGGTACTGTATATACCTTTTATTCATAAACTGAACAAACTCTGATCCTTTTGGATTATATTGAATACTAGCAGTTAGCAAGAATCTGATACGTTCTTCTCTCAAAATTATTTCCAAGAGATCTTGACATCTCCTCTACCGTATATGGCAAGAATTTTTGCACCAACCCACTTCTTTGTCCGATGCTATCTGTCAATCTGTCACATCCCTCATTGTCCCAGTCCGTCCATCTTCCTCTTTGCAACCATATCAAATGCTTTTTCATGTTTCTGTCATTCTGACATATGTGACATATCAGACATTGGGGAAATGTATTCAGCAAAATCTTATATAGTGCACTTTGGAATTTCTGCCCTGCGCTTCGAAATCTTGTAGAATTCGAAGCGTCTCTTCTTTCAGCCCCTATTCAACACCCCTCCCCCCACCACCGATGTTTCCAGCAGATGAAAATAAGCATAATCCTTAATTACGAAATGTATTTTTAGTTACCCGAGTGGATCATCAAAATGGCCGAGAATGAGCGCTGCTATGAAGAGGCCAAAAAGCATGCTACTGCTGAATTAGAGCGTTGTCGTACCCATATCCGGCAAGAGTTCGAATTGAGGAGGTGTGTTTGGGCAAGCACTAGTGTTTTTATCCAGATTCGGCATGATAAGGCTTTTAGGAAGAGACATGAGGAAAAGTACAAAGCCGAAATGGAAGCGCTGCGCATTAAACTTGACAAACGTTTGAGGGATCTCGAAAATGCACAGACGGGACTTGCTGTCGACAAACTTCGACGGCTTTCTATGGTAAGTTGTTACTGGAATGATTAAAAGACCAAGGAAGAAGGGAAGTTTACGATTCGAAGCATAGGAAGGCGCTAACATATTGGGTTGTTTCAAAAGTTCTACCCGTTTTCGATACCCTTTTTAAGCTTCCGATTTGGAGGAAGAAACCATTTTTTTTACAAACAGTGCTTATATCATTCAAAAGCTCTTTTCTTCTAGTTCTTCAGGCATACTTTCGTTTTCATAGATCTTTGTTCGCTGTGTGGTTGCGTACTTTGCTAAGACAGCGAAACAAATGTGAAAATTTTCGTCTTTGCTTTATCGCCGTGATATCTGCAGCCAAAAGATAAAATTTCTTCTAAAACATACATAATGTTTACTGGAGACCTGTGCTACAAAACGCTCATCGAGATATGGTTTCAGAAAGACTTTGAACCTACAAATTTTTGGCTCAAACATAACCTGTATTTATGGTCCCTTCAAGTCGCCTAAAATTCATAAACACATTGCAGTCGCGGAACTTTTACTCTATATAGTAAGATTAGAGCTAGAACAACTGCTACTAGAAGAACGAAAGAATTTCCTGTTGTCAACGGCGAACAAAATCAAAAATGTTAAAAAATTGCATTTTTTGCCGCCTCAGAAAGAGCAAAATAAGTGGATCCTTTCGGATTTTTCAGCACAAAATTTTTATGAAAGAGTTTGATGAAATCCAAAGTTAGCCGTACTGCTCAGTCGACTATGGGTTACACTGTGAGCAGTCCTTGTGCAACTCAGCTGTATTCCAAATCAAGTTATGCTTTTGCAAAGTGAAGGTTTCTACGAGGAGATGTTTCCCGATTTTCGCCTACAAAATCTTCTCCACTATTACTGCAATTATCTTGAAAAGTGCGCAGAATAGCCAAAGATTCGCAGGTTATAACACAGTTTATAGCAATTACAAAGATTACTTTTGAGAAGAGTTACGGTGAATTAAACTCAAAGTTCGAAAACGGGTAGAACTATTGAAACAACCCAATACAAATTAATTTCAAAATCTGCAGGAATAAAATCCTCACTCGAAAATAGTTGTCCTTTTTTATTGCGGTTTTCGGGAAGGCTGTGGTTGCTAAGATTTGTTGACAATACCACTTTTTTTGATGAAAATGAAACCTTTCGGGGTTTTAATGTAGGTAGTTTTACGATGGTATACAAGACGTAAGGTCTTCTGCTCACCTTCCCTTCAAGCAACTCGACCGTAATTCAGGACCAGTCACTGCGTTCTCGACAAGAACGAGAGAAAAAGATTCACGATATGAGCGAATCCACGCAAGAAGTGTTTAACAAAGAAAGAAAACGCTTTTCAATTGGGTAAGTAATATTGTTTCCTATGTCAGAGATGGAGTAATAGTAGTAAAACAAGCCAATCTGAACAGTGAAGAAAATTGCAGAAGTTGACAGTTTACCTGGCAATTATTTTGAATTCTCCACAGTTCTACTCACTCAAATTGTAATGAGCAAATCTCAAATTGTAATGAGCATATCTTTACATCTGTCACAATGGTCTTAACTTAAAATTTTATCTGGGTCGGTAGTGAACATGTCAGAACTCACATTTATAACTCAGGGATTACTTAGAGTTATCTCTTAGCTAACGCGAGCATTTTGATCCCTTAAACATATGCTTGAACAGATTAAATCTAAGAAATGATGATATAGCAGGGTATTCAACGCTAATTCACCCTTAGTAGAAAACCATTGTACAAATCGTACTGCACAAGAAACCAAGCGCCACCAAACGCATAGCTGAGCTCCGCGATAACCCTGACGAGGTACTTTCAATGGCCGTGGCCTTTTGATATGAGATGCATACCTGAAGCAGCTTCGAAGGCTGATTCTAAATCTGCTCTTTTTTTTCTGCGGAGCGCTCTTTCGAAGAGAGTTATGAAAGCCTGAAAATCCTATTCTGGGGGCGATCCCTAGGTTAGAGAGCGCTGCTATGTGCGTTGGTGGTGCAGTGGTGCAATGGTTAATTGCTGACATTGAAGGTGAAAGGGGCCGATGGTTCGAATCCAGTGCAGAGCGTAACATTTTGCACTACGAATGTGAGTTTAAAAACCACCTTGATCCGTCTGCAGACGCTTCTGTAATGCTCTTGGCAAATGCGACTTAAGGAAAGAATTCTCTGGCAGAACCGCTTGCTGCTGAGATCTTTTCTCCGCAAAAAAAATTCATGTACAGAGGTGAAGCGATTACAAAGTGAGCAAAGCACAGACATTTCTCACAACGGAAACAGCGTATGAAGAAAACCGCGCAATTCTCATGCTCGCAAGTACCCATTAGGTTACTTGGGGAACAATATTGGAGTGAGTGGAGTTTCAAATGTATTCAAGATCTTTCAAATGAATTCAATCAAACTGGATTCGAACCATCGACCTTCCGCCTTCAATGCCAACAACTAACTATTACACCACTGCACCACCAATTACATAGAGCTCAAACTCAAGGAGCGCCCCAAAACAGGATATCCAGGCTTCCATAACTCTCTTCAAAAGAGAGCTCAACAGAAAAGGAAAGCACATTTGAAATCAGCGTTCAAAGCTGCTTCAGACGGTGTGCATCTCATATCAGAAGGCCACGGCCATCGAAAGTACTTCCCTTGTGAGTTTAGTGCGCCTTCCAGTCGACCATGGGACTTCGATAACTCTGAATTTGGTCAGAGAAAGGAAAATGGCACAAAAGAAGAGGGTTAGCTGAAAAGTTACAGTAAACAGGAAGAAACCACGAAAATGACCAAATTCAACCGGTGGGATTAATGCCTAATCACAAATATGGTATTCATTTTATGCTGCGATGACATCTGACAAGGTTGGAGTAGATATGTGGCCAAAATGATAGATTTACCCAAAATTTGGTACACTTGGGTTACTCGGGGTCCAGACCACGGACAGTCTAGTTACTACGTTCAGGTGTGTCGTTTAAAGCAAGCAATAACGGTAGGTATACGGTAAAAGGATAGGATTAAAGGATTTGGGGCCTTCAATACCCCGCACTCTACTTCATAGTAGAAGAGGCTACTGAATGCGTGTGGGCCTATTACAGTGACTTGCAATTACCAAATCAGTGTTTTTATCCTCTCTGATTACCTTGGTACCAATTTACCAGCCCTGAAAGGTAGAAAGCTTGGTTGACCCAGGGACGGGGTTGAATCTGGGTCCGATCTGGTCATAGCGGCGCCTGATACCACTACGTCACTCGTCGCGGTATAGGGTAAGCGGGGTTGAAATCTCAAAAGAGACTTGTATTTAGTCCGGTAGGGTTTCTGACCAAAAGTTTACCAAACTTCCATGCGGTGATATCATCTCATCTAGTAGGGTCACGGTGAACATACGGTAAGTAAGCCAGGATCAGAGATTAAGGTCAAATATAAGCAAAGGGTTTACTTCTGTGCGCAAATCTGAATAGTCCATTCTTTTCCATAGCGTAAGCTAACTGTTCCCTCTATCTGTTTGAAGCGTCGGCTGCGCAAGAGACACATTTTTGCGATAAACTACTATTCCTCGATATTTTTGTGTAAATGCAGTGAACAAATTTATGGCAAAGCAATTTTATATTGCAGGACGTGTCGTGGCTTAGTGTTAAAGTGATAGGATCATCGCGCTGTAGTGAACAGATTCGGGTCTCAGCTTGAAAATCTTTTGCAGTAACATGCATAACAGCTCCTCAAGCAGCAAAACAAAACCCGAGCCTCTTGAAACTTTAAAAGCGGAACTCAGAGTTCCCATAGTCAAAACTCTGTGTTCAGCGAAACTCGGAGTTGTCTTTGAGTTAACGCGGAACAACAAATTCGGAGTGTCGAGCAGTTTACCACCGACCATGCTGACTAGACTGCAAAGTAATGTATATCCTATCAGTATGATCATTTGAAAAGAAAACACATTCTTTTTCATTGGTGCCGAAACACGAAAATTTGTCTTTTCACTGTAAGAGGAAAAATGTTGGTGAACTTTTTTTATTTGTAAAATTGTAGTCCTTTTGCTGGGCGATTCTGCCAATACTGCTACAAACTTTTACTCTTTTTTGCTGTGTTATTATTCTCTATAAACAAAATTAACTTCCAGTGTTGAACAAATGATGGAACAGAAGCAGTTAGAACATCGCGAAGCCATGCGAAAATTATCGCAACAAGAGCAGAAAGCCCTTCAACGGCTTGAGGAAGTTGTTTCAAACGCACAAGATGGTCCCCCAACTCGATCTACGTCAAGGTAGAAACAATCAACATGCGGGGTTTTACGTATTACGATATGATGTTCTTTTCGATATGTGTATACATTAAATTGCTATATCAGTATTTCATGGTCTTTGCGAATCTCCCTATTTGACTTCTGCGTCCGCGATTATTATTCTGCAGATATTTTTCGAAGTTTCTCGAATATTCTGTTAACACTATTGTGGTTTACGACCACTTTCACCCTATATCACATTGATGTCATGCATGGGCTATTGTACTCCGACTGCATTTTTTGTATAACTTTTGTAGATGCTTAATCACATTTCACCCCTCCGAACTTCAATCATCGAATGAGCTTATGCATTGCTACGGTTTATAACGACTTAAATTTGAGGATTGTCAATATTTTACATCCTGAGGTATGTTTTCATAAAATGCGTATTTTTGAAATCTGTCATAAACAGATTGCCAATTTATCGGCATTTTCAGCTTTGTTGTATTTTTGCTAGCTTTACTCAGTCACAGCTATATCTGATTCATTACTGCAAGAATAAAATTTCCATACTTGTTGTCGTGTCGTTGATCTTGAGAAATGATAGCGGTAGTGCAGAAAGGTGTCCTGTACATAGCCAGTCTCTTACACATTTCGCTACGCAGTTCAATAAACGGCTTTCTTTTCATATATATGCTACTAAATCAAGGAAAAGTCAAGAGAACTCCCAAATGCCTTCGAAGTTTCCAACATGATGTGCTTTAAACAATTCTATTATTTGCTAACATTTCATCGGCTTTCAGAGATAAACCATCGCAACGTTCCGGTCAAGATCCTTCGAAAGTTGGTTTATGAAGTGGCAAAATTCACACCCAAGTCCACTTTTTGCTAGAGTCAGAGATAAATTTTTCAAACCGGGCTTTCAACCCATAACAATATGTTTTCCTTCTCGACGTACCTCCACGTACAATAACAATAGGACCGATCCTGCTTGATACAGCCTGTAGTCGATGTTGCCTCTGACTGGGTTTGGCTGCTTGATCACTACACTTTGCTGATTTGGACCCTTGGCGAACATCAGTCAACACAAGCATCAATAGTATGAAAAGTTGTCAGCTCGGTACACCTGCATCGGCGCCCGAACCCAAACTTGTTGACATTCTCATCTGGCTTGGGAAAGGAGATGGGTACGTTGTACCGTTGCAGACTTCTGCGCTTTTTTATACAGAGGATCGCAAGATAAACTACTTTTTAGCAGAATTTCTCAGTGAAAACCATCTAGGAGAGAGATTTCGCTATCTCTTCTGTTGATATTTTGATTGATGATTTATTTTTTGAAGTAAATCGCATGGTCACAAAACCTCTACTACAAGCTCTTCCTCTTCCCTTTACTGTCAAGTTAATTTCAAATACAAAAATGAATTGTGGGAAAGTGTTGCTCCATAGAATTATATAGAGGTGGGATTTTGGGATTTAGTACGAGGAGTAGCGGAAAGAAAACCGACATCAAATGAGCAGGACCAAAGAGATGTTAAAGTGGAATGCATGGTAAGGGAGCCTCCAGACCGCGGGTTGCCGCTTTTGCAGCCGAAGCGCACGAGGTCAGATTTTGTCCGTGGGGCGCGTAGGGGTCTTGTTCGCAGTAATCAGATACTTGCAGTTTTTTATCGTTTTGTCGCTGTTCTTCGTTTTGAAGTTCCTCTTCAGTGTTGTAGTGAATAACTCTGTTGCAGACGTGGTTTATTTAATTTGGCTTCAGTCTTTCGCTGTTTCACGGTGCTGAAGTGTTCGAATCATGTAAAGGAAGTTTTCTTCCAATCTATCTCTAAATAAGAAGCTGATGGAACGGAGCATTCCGCGTAATTTTTATTTGTCTATTCCTTTATGATAGTTGACCGTAAATTTGAAGATTGTCCAGAATGAGCTACCTCGTTGCGAAACAATGTTGCTTTTCGGTTTAGCTTTTGTTTTGAGGGTATTGCAATAATGTGTGAGTGACTAGCGACCATATGGGTCGCTAGTAAGTGGGTCGGGCAGATACATTATTAGCCATCTAGTTGCGACTATAAATATCTTTGCATTTTCCACTCATTTTGTGGAAACCATTTTTGAAAACAAAACTGAAAAAAGTCGAGAAAAAGCGAAGAGATAACAATCCATTCAACACTTCATGAGAGTCTCGTCACAACATCATAACAATTTGGGAGAATTCATACTTTCTCGAATACTACGCGCTCCCATCCGAATCCCCTCTCAACGCAGATTCATAGAAAAACCAACAAAGTCCCCCACCCTTTTTTTGCCAGCAAAAGAAGGTATGTCTTAAAGGCACCGTCTACCCAGATTTTCAACTTCCACGTTTTCGTCGTTTCAGGGCCTTCTCATGTTTCTGATTCCGAATCTGAAGTCGAGAATGCTCAAAAACCCCGACAATCCCCGTTCCAAAGAACCCACAGGCCGGTTTTCCAGAACGGTGATTGGATAGGCGCGTACAAATGGGCGGGTATGGATGGGGGAGGTCGGGCATGGATGGGGGTCCTCGTGCATCTTCGCTATTCCGAAGCGATTTTCTCGCTTCCGAAGCTGCGTTTTGCAGCGCGACTTGGGCGTTGGAGATAGAGAGCCCTACTATTACATGCTGCCAAAAGCTCAACAGTCTCAACTTAGGGTGGACGGTGCCTTTAAGCCATTTACCCACAGTTTCACGAAAATCGCTAGAAAGAAGAACACAACAAGTATCCTTCGAATAATTCTTTTTTTCGCCTCAGTTAATCAGCTCCTTCAGAGCTTTCCAAAGAACCCTTCAAGTTGAGGTTTTGTCAAATTATGAATATGAAAGATCACCATGAAAACGAAAAACCTCTTTTCCAAAAAAACCATAATGGGATCCTCTTGCGCTATCTTGTTGCAATACTCGGCGACTTCTGGGCAACATGGAGCTAATCTATGTATAATTTTTAATACCCTTCCAAGAATCTTCTTCGGGCTAAACTTTACAGCAATTGATGAGAGTCACTTCAAAAGCAGCGAATTTCGAAACAAAAATCTATCTTTCAAAACGCTTAGCTTGACACTCCGAAATTGTATTCTCGAAGAATTTTAGCAACGAAAACAAATGTTTTTTCATGCCTGACGTGCCGCCTACGTACCAATTTTGATAAAGAACAGCTCAACGAATCAACAGAGCGATATTGATATCCCTCAATCCTTTGATATTTGAGAAATAATGCTCTAAAAGCCGCTAATAGATAATTATTCGAAGAAATTTGTAAGAGATGGATCGCTTGCCACTCTGATTTCTGGAAGGAATTACCTACATTCCCTAAAAACCACACTTTGAGGAGAAAATTTTCCTTGGGCCGCCTACAAAGAATCTTGAAAACCAACTGATCTTCGACCCCTACAAACCAATATTCTGGGATGAAACTGCCCAACGGGATACAAACCGATTGGAGGAAGAAATGCCGAATGGGCTGCCACAGACCGATATTTCAGAGGAAAACTATATCACGGCTTGTTACGGACAGTATGAAAAATTGCCCTGTAGGCGGCTTACAGATCGAAATCTTGACAAAGAACTGCCCTACAAACCCTAGAACATATTTTGAGAAATCTGCCCCAGGAGCCGCTTCAAAACCAACAGTTTCAATGAGAATGCCCTACGTCCTTTGCAGATGACTTTGGGAAAAAACTATGGGACCCTTAAAAAACCATAAATTACGCCCCATACAAACAATCTGAAGAGAAGCTGCCCTAAGCGCCGCCTACAGATCCATATCTGTAGGAATGATGTGCCTTACGGGCCGCTTACAAAGCGCTATTCTGAAAAGTGGTGCAAGCCCCCTAGAAACCGATCATAAACAACGAAATTTATACCCCAGACCCGTGAGTAGTCCCCTTATTAAGAAAGAATAGCCCTACTGCCACCTACAGTGCAATAATACGGAAAGGAAGTGCCCTATAAAACGTTTGAAGATCAAATTTCAAACGAAGGATGCCCCGCTAAACCTCCCCTCTTCAAAGAAATAATTATGAGAAAAAACAGCCCCATAAAGAGCCTAGGGACTCACATTTTGATATAGAGTTACCCTATGGGCGTCTACATGCCAATATTTTAAAAAGTGCTACCCTAAGAGCAGCTTGGAACCTAAAACTGAACATATGTTTCGTGTTTTCGAAATATAAGCGATTTCGAAGGTGCGCTATTAAGTGACTATGGACAACCAACAGATCAAATTTTTGAGAAATAAGGGCTCTGCGAGCCACGGAGAAACTTTGGAGACTTGGAACTTTGGAAACTACCGAAAGCTTGTTACAAAACGATATTACGAAAGAACTGCCCTCATCAGTCTTCATCACTGTTGTTGTACGGCTATGGGGCCATGGATACTCAAATAGGAATAGAAATAAGAATAGATTATGGCAGCATGTATATGAAAGTAGAACACTACAGCATCTTCACTTTGGAAACCAAACTGACATGGTGTAAGGTCAGCGAAAACTCCAGACAACGTTTCGAAATCAGTCATGAGGGGGGGGGGGAACTGTTAGCAACCTTACGAGAGTGTCGGCACCTCCCCAGCCATAGCCTTTATGCGCTTACAAGGAAAGGACCCTCAGTCGAAGTGGGGTTTCCACACGTAATGTATATCATTCTGCTGGTCTTGGGGCACTAATATCAGATCCGTGTTCCTTAGCTGCTCAATGATCTTCTGGAAAAAGTTATGAGCGACGGTTCTCCACAATGACCCTGCACATTAGAAGTCTTAGGCTCCAAAGAATGTACAGGTGTAGACGGATGGGCGAATGGATAGCTGCGGAAACTAAGGCGCAGGTGGTAAAAAGTTCGCGTCCCTATGGAGCCGACTATACTTGGGTAATTCGAAAATTTTTCATCGAATGAATGAATATCGAATAAATTCGAAAAGGAAAAATTTCGAATAAACGAATATCGAATAAATTCGAAAATGAAAAATCTCGAATAAACGATTATCGAAAAAATTCGAGTTTCAAAATTTCTCGAATGAATGAATTCCGAATAAATTCGGAAAATCAAAAATGTCGAATGAATGAATATCGAATATATTCGAACATTGGAAGTCGAATTTCGAATAAATATTCGAGTGATTTATCGAATAACGAGAGCAACCATATCTCAAACTTGCCGACATATCTGGCTAAAGCCGATCCATTCATATTCAGCACCCCCGTATCCCCTATACCAACTCCTAGCTCAAAATTTTCCAAAAATCGATATATACTTAAAATCAATATGTACTTAAATCAATATGTACTTGAATTCCACAAATGCTACGATACATTGCCTGTTCATCGGAGACTTTCGTCTTGTGTGGTATAAGCTAATCGTGGACGAAGGCATGTGGTTTCTTATGCGAAGCGAGCACGAATGCCCCTATAGCCCCAGGCATACTGCAGGCATTTCGGTGGCGACGTGGTTTGGCAATAGTCAAATTGTCCAAAACTTATTTTAAAAGTACAGAATGCAGGGCATTTATCTTTTTGGTAAGTTGTACACGCTAAACATTTGTGGTAAGCTGGCGTTACATTTGAAGACATCTCTTAACTGGCAAATCGCGTACGGCGATCTAAGCCGTCTAATCCTGCACTACAACTGCGATGTCCTTCAGTCAAAATACGCCAATTCGCAAAAAATCTCTAAGGTAGCGAATAGAGGCAGCTGTGCAATATAACTCATGCGAGCAAGAGTGCTCACTAGTGTGGGCTTTGCGTACCACAAACCACAAGCATGAGCAATGCAAAGAAAGAAAAACAGGCATTTAAAAACACTTTCAATATATGAACTCAGAACATGAGCTTGAATTTGATAGCTTCTTTGCTGATATGGTGCGAATAGCAACGCGAACATCATTGATCGAAAAAGCATCAATAAAAATCCACATATGATTTTTTTACTGTCAAGCAGTCGGAAGAATGCGACTCTCCATACCGTTCAAAGATATGACGGTTGCAAAAGATTTACCGAGTTTTGCAAAGAAAAAAAACGCGAACAAAGTGAGCGTGATACACAGCAGTTGGCTCTGCAATAAATTCGAATAATCTGAATACGGAGTCATTCGAATACGAATTCGAATAAACATTCGAATAAAACATTCGAATAAAATCTATTCGAAACCCCGTTTTTTGATTATTCGAGTTTTCAAGTAATATTCGAATCCTCGTTTTTTGATTATTCGAGTTTTCGAATTTTATTCGAAACCCTGTTTTTTGATTATTCGAGTTTCGAATTTTATTCAAAACCCCGTTTTCTCAATTATTCGAGTTTCAAATATTATTCGAAAATGGAAGAACTCCGAATATCGAATTTCGAATACGAATATATTCGAATGTTTTATTCGAATGATCGAATTTCTATTCGATTCGGACCCAAGTATAGAGCCGACTTTGTCTTTTTGCAAATTGTATTTTGCGAATTCGCAGACAATTTTTGATAAAGCAGACCTTCGTCAAAAAGCTTGCGGACTCACAAAATACAATTTGCAACAATGCAGAGTTTCATAAAGTGGCGAACTCTTCACTACCTGCGCCATAGTGTCCGCAGCTATCCACCCGCCCATCAGCTACACCTGTACATTCCTTGGCCCCCGAACTTATAATATGCAGTGGTCATCGTAAGAAACCGTCGCTCATAACTTTTTTCAAAAGATCATTGAGCAGCTAAGGAACACGGATCTGATATTAGTGCTCCAAGACCAGCAGAATGATATGCATCACGTGTGAAAACCCCACTTCGACTGAGAGTCCTTCCCTAGTTAGTAGCCGCACCCTCTTTGAAGACATTTCTCGAGGAGAGACGATGCTTACCTCTCCTACGAAAACACGCTAGCCTTGTTGACATCTGTACCCTTCCCACCCTCGGCAATCACTCGCCTCAGTTCGCAACTTGTCAACATGTAAGTGCAAACCCTTGCCATTCTTTATTATAGAATGATCTGGTCGCGCAGCGAAATGTTTTGATATCGTTTCCGTTTTGAGACTGATCTAACGTGCTGGGGAGCAATGCTGCAAAACCATGTTTCCGTAATCTTTTGGTTGATAGCCTCTGGACGAAAAAAAGCATCAAAATGACTTTAAATTAGGAGTTTTTGTTTACTCAGTATAGTAAGGTACAACCAACAAAGCAAAAAGTACTCAAAGACTCGTTCAACAACGATATCGCTCATCCAGCATAGCAACATGCCAAATAGAAAGCATATTGTGCAAAGATGTAATAGCTCATAGTAGTATAGTTTCAAAAATAAAGACAAAATCAAAGAAACCTCATTCCTAGCAATATCGAAATGGAATTGAAAATCAGGTGAACTTCTACAGTATTCCGCTCACTTTCACATAAACTAATAGTCTTGTAGCGGAAAAGATCAAAAGGGCACTTCGTTCGACAGTGATTGAATCTCTCTAGCGCAGAACGACGAAGAAACGGAAGCCAAATCAAATAAACAAAATCTGCAACAGAGTTCTTACTACAGCATTGAAGAGAATTTTCAAAAACGGAACAACAGGACAAAAGGCTGAAAATCCTGCAAGTACTCCAGTGGTGCGAACAAGTCCCTCCTATGCGCCTTACAGACAAATTCTGACCCAGTGCGCTTCGGCTGCAAAAGCGGCAACCGACGCGGTCTGGAGGCTCTTTATTATATACGGAGTGCTATGCTCAGCCAAGTCATGCAATACGGAAAGTGTTCCTTTATTAATTCGCAACAATGTTTGCACTTTCACTTAATGACAAATATAAATTCGTATTTGTCTCAATTTATCAATTGGTGTTGTCTAGAATCCTTTCTTCTTTGCTAATGCTTGAACTGCTCCCCAATTACTCACGCACTCGTTTATAGTTTCAAAATCGTCGGCTTTACGCATTCCTGTGAATGAGGTTTGAGAATATGATACAGTAGTATTCCAAAGGCATGAAGGTACAACTAGTTGATTTTTGCGCTTTTGATTTTCTAAAGTATTTTTTGAATCATTATGCGAATACTATACATACCAGATTTGCATAGAAACGGAATATCGTTACCTCTCGGTGGGGCTTGTTCTGGCTTCGGCTTTGGCTTTGGTGGTGGGGTTGGTATGGCTCTCCTGCAATTTACCGTGACAGTAACTTTCATTAAAAAAGCCACAAGTGATCTACTTTTGCAACATTGCTTGTGCAGCTCCCCAATTGCTAACTACTTCGTTAACTGTCTCATTATCATCAGCAGGTCTGAACTTTTCTGCAAATAGAATTATGAGAAAGTAAAACTGTTTCAGTGATAGACTTTACATTTGTTGACCATATTCCTGATCTCCGTGATAGACTTAATTTTTTTTACAGATAAGCTAGAGGGCTGAGACTTGGCATGGCGGGGTAAGTGAACATGCTCATTACACAATAATCATTACATTGGACTTTATCTACTGAAGTAATTATTCGCGAGCAAGGGTGATAGGCATAGTATACGGGATAGAGGTGTTATTATTATCGTATGAGCAACAATTGTTGAACGCTGTCTCCGAATCTACTAGCTTCTCTTTTCTGCGAAACAATCTGAAAGAAGTTATGAACGCTTGATTGTACCAATGTGTTGAGCACTGAGTAGAACTCAGAAACGTGTAGCTAATGGAACTTCACTAACTGTATTCCTCCCTAGCAGTTGATATACTTGTTACAAAAATGATTAGCTGCTTTCGGGTTTTTTACAACTAAGTTTTTGCCACTCAAGGGAAAAAATAGACTGTCAAACGCTCATAAGTTCTTTCGAAGAACTATTCCCCAAAAAAGGAAAGCAGATTTGGAGTCAGCGTTCAATGTTCTTCATGATCGGGAACAGCGTTTACGCTGAAATGAATGGTAGCAAAGAGAGACAGAATGTTCAACACTACCATGGTACATAAAGCCGGAGAGAACGAGCACGAGAAGTTTGCAACAAAAGCTACTTCAAGGCAGGGATTAAATATGGCACACAGTATTTTTGTATTGTTCCAACCCTGACAAGAACATCTATATATATATATATATAAAACTCAAAAATTGTCAGTTTGGAGGGTATGTGCGTTATAGAAACGCGCGCCACTCAACCGATTCAGCTGAAACTTTGCACACATATGTTTTCGACCCTTGCGCAGATGATAGGCTACTTCTTGCGGCAATTCGTTAGGTCCTTCTATCGATTTATTGATTTGTTTACATTTTCCTAAGGAATTGAAGGGTTATCATGTTCAATCAAGCATTTTCCATACTCATGTAAAGAAGGGCGGTGAAGCTCATTTTCACCTCAGGATCACGAGGATGCGGTTTCCAAGCGGATGTCCCAGGGTAAGTCATCTACCATATAGGGCGGGGGGAGGGGGGGGGGGGGGGCTCGCAGTGCGGTGAACCGTGGCCCGGGCTGGACCGGGAAAGTCAACTAGTTTAGAAAAAAGAGTAAAAATAATAGTTGCATACGTTGTGGTCTGGCCGGAGCTCGTGGCGGAACGGCAGGTTTTCTGTCTTTTGAGCCTAAAAAACTTTAATCATCGGTAAAAAACTGAAGGTAATCTAGTTGTATTTTCTAACTTCCTTGAGGTAGTGGTGGTGGTACATTCCCTCCTTCCCTTCTGAATTTGGAAACAGTCAAACTTTCAACGATATATGATTATAACGAGGATAAACATTACTTTTGTAACATCGCTTGTGCTGCACCCCAATTACTAACTACTTCATTTACAGTTTCGTTGTCATCTGCAGGTCTGAATTTCTCTGAAAATTTTTTGTTTACAAGTGCACTCGTAGTGGAAGCTGTAGATACGAATACAGTTCAAAGCTTAATTTCATAACTGGAACCCTGAGCAATAATTATATAGGTCTTACGTTGTTGTCTAGGGGGAGCTCGCGGAGATATAGCTGGTTTTCTATCTTTGGCACCTAAATGTGTCATTTTATTTTTTTCTTTTCATTTCTGAAACTAACTTCCTTGAGGAGGAGGTGCGGGAACCTTTGTTTCTCTCCTAAATTTATTTTTGAGGTATTTTAACAATGAAAGATAGGACTACTTTTGCAGCATTGCTTGTGCTGCTCCCCAATTACTGACTACTTCATTGATAGTTTCAGCATCGTTAGCAGGCCGGAATTTCTCTAAATAATTGGGCACTCTATTATCGAGAAAAATTGAGTAAGCTAAGGTTTACGTTTTACTACTGGTGGTGCAGGGGGTTTCGGTGGTATACCCTCTTTCTTATCTTTTGAGCCTATATATAACAGAAACGTAATTCCATGAAATCTCACCAAACCTGACTAACTTCCTAAGGGAGTTGCGCCTCCTTCTCTCCTGAAGTTTTGGTGGTGATAAAAGATATAACTTCCTTTTTTCGTAACTCACTTCTGAAGCATCGCCTGTGCCGCACCCCAGTTGCTGACTACTTCATTTACGGTTTCCGCATCATTCGCAGGCCGGAATTTCTCTGAATTATCGGGCACCCTATTATCGAGAGATATTGAGTAAGCTAAGGTTTACGTTTTACTACTGGTGGTGCAGGGGGTTTCGGTGGTATACCCTCTTTCTTATCTTTTGAGCCTATATATAACAGAAACGTAATTCCACGAAATATCACCAAACCTAACTAACTTCCTAATGGAACTGCGCCTCCTTCTCTCCTGAAGTTTTGGTGGTGAAAAAAATGTATAACTTCCTTATTTGTAACTCACTTTTGAAGCATCGCCTGTGCCGCACCCCAGTTGCTGACCACTTCATTTACGGTTTCAGCATCATTGGCAGGCCGGAATTTTTCTTAATTGCGTGATTAGAGTAAAAGAACTGCTAAATTGAAGTATAGATGTACTTACGAGCCTCTTTCTTCTCCTTGGACTCTTTCGACTCTTTAGATTCTTTGGATTCCTTTGGCTCTTTAGACTCATCTTTCAAAACAAGAGGTCGTCTATGCCTTGGCCACCAAGGAACTTACCTGACCCTCTAGAAAAGAGCTTTTATTAGTCTCAAAAGTGTTTGGAAACAAAGAAAAGCGGCCGCTCGAAATGCACAAAAGCAGCATAAATCAAATGTCTCAAACTAGTTTACGTCATCTTTCACGTGTCTTGCTTCCCAGTGTTTGCTGTTGGTATAGTCAGCCTTAGTCGTATTCAACATCATCAGTTAATTTTAGACTTTTTTGTGATGTGGCAGGCTTACCGAAAGTGCTATTCACTGGTGGCAGGGAGAACACGCTTGTTTGCAGCGCGCTCAAGCAGAAACGACTGTGATTACGTGAGAATAAAAAAGTTCTACGTTATTGCACTATTTTGATTGTAAGATTGAGGCGGGTTTGCTTTTCTTTCTGTTTACAGTAAAAACTCCTATCTTCATGTTGTTTACTAATGACGACAATTTGCAAACTACGTACAAATTGATGCATGTATACCCAGCTGGAACGAGCTTTCGATATCAAGATTTGCCCAATTACTCAACTAACACTCCAGCTTACTATAGAATAATTGGCACTTTCCAGCAAGCAAAATCGTGTTGATTATTGATTAGCTAGAAGCTATTAGGATGTCCCATAAGTCTTTTCATTTTTGAGTTTCCGCTGTGATAAGTCGTACACTTTTCATTCTAAAGAGATATCAGGATATCTTTCGATAGAGCAAAGCAAGCTCTATAAGATGACGTTTATGCTTTTGCATCAGCTTTGATCCACCTCAAGTTTGAAACCAAATTCAAAAAGTTTCGGATACCCAGAAAATTGGAAATTTTCTAGATCTTACTTTGAAAAAGTTCTACAGATCGCTCACTCGCTCACGCATATACACTCCACATCAAACGCTTATATGTGCTGTTGCTGTCTTTTTTCACTAACTAGAAATCAAGAAACCAAAAAATTTTTGTTTTTACCAAAATAGTGCTGGGCTTTTCTTATACCAACAGTTGTATACTACGTCCCCTCAGAAGTACAATGGTAAATTTTCGGCTCTTTAAAAGCTGTAGCCCGAGAAACATCGAATTTAGATTCCCTCACTCAGGTTATCCACGCTTAACTCAACATTTCTCGGAAACCAGAGTTTGTAGAGATCTGAAAATTTACGGTTGTACTTCTAAGAGGTCGTATTATACAACTGTTATATAAGAAGAGCACAGCATCACTTTGGTAAAAACATGGAAATTTTTGGTTTTCTTGATTTCTAGCTAATAAAAAAAGACAGCAACAGCACGTATGGGTGTCTGATGCGGAATATATATGTGAGCGAGTTAGAGGCCTTAGGATTTTTTAAAGGTTTTTTGGGTATCCGGAACTTTTTAGATTTTGGCTTAAAACTCGAGATGGACCAAGCTTGTGCAAAAGCATAAACGCCAGCTTATAGAGCTTGTTTTGCTCTATCAAAAGATATCTTGATGTTTATTTAGAATAAGAAATGTTACACTTATTACAGCGAAAACTCAATAATGAAAAGACTTATGGGACAACCTAATAAATGAGGCAAGAAACATTCTGGCAGATTCCCACCTTTTACAAAATTTGGTGAAAAGAAGCATGGCACCATCATGCTAGAGCTCCCTAATTTCCTTGCCTTTTCGTCATCAAACTGATGAATGTTTCCGTGAATGAAGTATGAAGAAGTGAACTATATCATTTGTGACCGTATTCACTTTGGCATCCTTTCTCATTTGCACTAGCCAATACCTTAGCGTTGACAGTCAGAACATTGGAAAGGCCTATATGAAGTAACCCAAAAAATGCCCCTAGGGTTTGATCGTTGGTAAATTTCTTGCTTCACCGTCTTTCGGCGCTGAGGTACCACCTCTTAGAGTGGCTCTCACCTACATGTAGGATATGGCAACATGACAACCTGGCATGACAACCTTTTATGCACTTTTTTCTCGATTTTTCTCGAGAATTTCCGACTTATCTTACAGTGGCTGCAATCCTACAGTATTTGAAAGCTATCTGTAATCTGCTCTGTTCTGTAAATATAAGTCAAGGTTAGCTCTGTGAATGGCACCTCAAGAGCCGCGAGAGATCACGAAGTATAAGAGTCATTAACCATCAAACAATAGAGATATTTTTTGAAATACCCGGTTTAATTACTTAATTAATTAATTCGCATGGATGCATAAATTGTAACATTGTATGTACAGCAATTCTCTGTAAGCTTGTATGTATTGGCTGAACGGTAAAAAATGGGACACCTAAAAAATAATTTAGATTTCTTAAGAAAGAAAAGTGATCGAGCTTTCCATTTTGATAAATAATAGAATATATTATTTTCTTTCAAAGGATACCTAATTAAGGTCATTAACATACTCAATAATTTTCATACTTGCTGAGATACAGAGTGAGTCACTTCGACAAATGATAAATTTTAAGCATATCTTCATAGTGAAACATGTGAGACCATACAAAGTCCACTGCTGCAATGGGTGATGGGACAGTTGCCAAACTCACGATGGGTTGCTAGACTCGGCGCATAAAGTCAGGAGGTATGGTCATTGACATTTTCAAGAACGCAGGTAGGCGTTATTTACTTTTTTGCGAATTAATCCATGCTTTCTGGTGCCGCCTGAGGAGGTCTTTGCGCTTTATCCATCTATGTGCAGTTAGCCTCGATTTTCTCATATCTTCAAAAATTATAGATTAAAACATGATTTTTGGCTTTTATTGCACCAGAAATCGCAATTTTTCAACTTTTTACTTTTTAATCTGGAAATAAAAAGAACCTACATAATCAATATAGCATTCGAAATAGCATGAGGAGCTCTTTCGAATGAGAGGCACTTGCTTTATGACTTTACGGTATAGCAGCGCATAATTGAGAGATGTTCAGAAACCGTGTTCGAGTTCTTCAAGACGCAACGCGTAGGGTTGTGGGAGAGGAGCGTCGACGCGCTACCAGAATGACAGGCGAAGGTCGCTTAGTTAATTTAGGTTTGAGTTACAGCCTGCTTGCTGTTAACTGAAGCAAAAAATCCCAAAATGTGATAAAAATCAGGCTGTCCCATTTTTACCGTTTATCCCTATAATACAATGCTATTCTCATTGCTCAGTTAGTGTACATAGGTAAGATGGAATAGAAACCTTCCCAATCTTGACATGCACAGATTCATACTTACGCCGTATTTGAATAAAATTTCATTTGAAAAATGCTGAAAGTCTTCTTCTAAAATTCTATTGGGTTGGTCCGAAAGTTCTGTCGCATCTTGAAAAAAATCGTAGCTTCTTACCAATGATGTTTTTGCATGGCTCTGATTTAGAGGAAATGAACCGTGCTCTTTCAAAAAGCACCTTGTACGCTCTCTAGTAAGCTTTGAATGCAGAGATAAAATTGGGAAAAGAAAATTACATCAATTTCGGGATTTTGATGCGAGCCCAAATTCCAAAACTGTGCCATAAAATCCCAAACGGCTAATCTAGGTTATTTGTCTCCCTCCTTCTAGCTGGGCATGTTTTGCGCTAATCAAGCTTTTCTCATAAAAGTTATGATTTTTGAAAAAAAATATCAAAAAATCAATTTTCTTAAGAAACTGTTTTTTTAGCATTCTTTCTTGAAAATCATAAGTTTTGATGAGCCCGATCAACGCAACTTTGCTCAGCTAAAAATAAATGACTAAAAAACCTAAGCTACTGGTTGTTTTGGATTTTATGGCATAGTTTTGAACTTGCAACGGGCTCGCCCCAAATTGAAGTGATTTCCTTTCCCAAGTTTATCTCTGCATTCAGAATTACTAGAGAGTGATCAAGACGTCCTTGGAAAACGCACGGTTCATTCCTTCTAATAAAATTAAAGCCATGCAAAAACATCGCAGTAGGAAGAAACTACTTTTTTGATTACGGTGCGACGAACTTTTAGACCAACCTAATACATTCATTCAATTTCACTGCTTTCATAATGCTACATAATTGAAAACGACTGACTTTCCTTTAGCTCCAGGTGCTGCAAAGTACTTATCTCCCTCTCGCGCAGCAGCCATTGCCATAGCAGCTCCCCAATTGCTCGGGACTTCATTGACCGTTTCATTCGGATCAACTGGCCGGAATTCGCCTGGTAGCAAAAAGAGGCATTTAATATGTGCATTATCGCCATTAGTGTCCACCTTTTTTAAGTCCTTCTTTCAATCGATTTTGTTCTTCTTGTTGCTCTCTGCGCTTTCGCTTCAATTAAGAGGTAATTCGTCGCTTGATTAGTATAATTTTGAAGTATAGGAAACTACTACTGCATTTTTTGAATAATTTGGCAGCATATGCGTTACCAGTGCGTCACCTCTGCTTCGCAGAGGATCGCACCAGTCCTACTATCCGCGTACTTTCCTCAAAGTCGTAAAATGGTGTCTTTGAAACATACCGCGCGATGCCGACCATCAGGAATGAATTGTAAACAACTACTCACTTCCGGAGCTTTTTATATAAGATCGGTGACTTTAAGAGGACGAAAATATTCTCCAAAGAATAATTGCGGGTTTGAATCGCCCACTGGAGTTATAGTAATAATTGGCTTGGCTTGACAGTCGCTATAAAGATAGTGACAGCCGTGAGTTACATCTCTAAGCAAAAATCTAATTGAATTCTTAGGTGAAACCTTGACAAATCGACTGTTTACGCAATTTCCCTTTTGGTGCCGATATTGCGTGAAAGTAGATTTTTTGCTCACATTTTGGGCTATGTCCATGGTTTTTTTGGGCTGAGTCCATGGTTTGCGGAGTACTTGTTTAAATCCAAGATTTTGGCAAATGTTCAATTACCGGCCCACTTTGGTGCGCCAAGTCGCTATTCGTTTGGTGCACAGTCTTCAACGTTCCACTTGTCGGATCGGCTTGTGCTTTTACACAATTTACCTACATGCTGATAGGGTGCTACTACCAAATTTCTAACTCAAGACCTTTGCTGAAACTTGCTCTACGAATTCCGTGACAGAGAGAATTCGTAACTCAATATGCGTAATGCACACTATACATGCTAAATGACGAACTGCAAAATAGAACCTGCTCGTTTCCAGTGATTTCTCCTTGTTTTCTTGTCTCTTTTGCTTTTGTTGAGTATATGTTGGTCAATAGAACACACTTCTACGCTTTGTTAGACTAGAAAATGTTTCACAAGAAAGTTACCAGTAAGCGTACAGTCGCTGATAAGAGTTATTGTGCAACACATATTAAGTTGCAAATGACTCGAAGTTAATTTGTTTTCATTTCCAGACTGTGCAAAGTTTTGAAGGCTTTGGATAAACATCTTAATATCTCGCGAACGGTGTAAAAAGAGATTGAAGGGAGAATAGAATTTTAAGCATTTTAACTTTAAAAATTTTGAATGTTTGAATACTTTTGGATAGATAATCATTCCTGGATAATCTTCAAAAAAAACTTTTTTGCTCTCATTTCGCCAATTTGGGTTTGGAAGAATTGTTCGATAGGAAAGTTGCCATTCGGACGCTCGCCTCTTCCGCAGAAAAATTTTATTACATTAAAAAGATTTCAAACTCTGAGCTGTAGCACCCGATATTGGCTACAGGGTGATTAGAAAAGCCAATGTCTGCTGATTAGAAAAGTTTTTTTTCATTAAGGAGAATAGCCAGTACAAAAGAAAGCTGATTTCAGGAAGCGGTCGGGCGTGCTAACTACTCAAAAACCGTGCAAGAAATTAATCAGACACTGATCATCCATCCAATCGAACATTCCCAAAGTTAGAGAGGAGCTGAGAGTTGGTCAAAAGTGTTTGCGCGGATATTTTTGATGTCGCTGGAAAGCCATAGAATATAGCTTTCAACAAATACTTTCAAAAAATGCCGAACAGAATGATTAGATTAGCTAGGCATATGATGCATAATTTGCCAAACTTTAAAGAGATTTGAAGAGAACTCGAGAAAATACTGAAATGGTAAATGATAGTGGTGTTATGCAGTTCTTCTAAAAAAAAACAGGAAATGTCATCGTCATTTGTTCGAGCAAATAGATGTAGCAAGTAAAATTTGATAGTGAAATTGAATAATACGTAATGTCTGATTTCTGATTTTAGCAAATTGGAAGATTGAAAGAAATTGGTAAAGCAATACCTCGCGAGCAGCTCGTTTTTCCTTCTGAAAAGTTGCTTGTCTTAGACGTTTACAAAATCAAACAATCTGTTGATTATCTTATACTTACCATAGCAGCAGAATCAGCTGAAAACATAATTGTTATTGAAAAAACTGGAAACAAAAAACTTCAAAACCCACGATCTTCTTCGTCAAAGCGCGAGACATCTAAAAGGTACATGTAATTTGTGAACGACAAACTTTTTTTACTTGCGAGATTTACACATTTGAAAGCGATCTGTTAAAGCCGCTTCTCCACCCGTTCTCATGATCATCATCGCCTCCCGTGCCTCACTGTTATATGAACGCGCTCTATATTCGACAGTCATTACGATTTCATACACACCGACTAAATTGTGTTCGGATCGTGTTGTCTTCAATCTTCCAAAGAAATGAGCATTTTGTTGGTTGTCCAGCATTAGGCCTCGGCAGAGTTGAATTTGATTGAATGCCGATCTCCTTGCATTTCGGTTATAAAAGTTAGTCAAGATTAGTCGTGTTGGAAAACTATCACAATCGAAATGCAAGAAGATCGGCGTGCAATACTCGTAACACTTGTCTGTAGCGATTGAATCGTGACGATCAAATCGCGTGAACTCCGTCCGAGGCCTCAGAGACTCATGCAGAGAAACCGCATCATTGTCGGGAAAAGGAAGGAAGAGAGTAGGAAAGAATAAAATTTTTGCCGTGTTTTATCGAAGGTCCCACCACTTTAGCTTGCAGCCGCCCCTCTTGAGTACATACTTAATCAAATATTAAAGAAATCCTGCCATCGCATTGCAAGTATAAAGGAATCCGTTTATGGTCACTAAAAGACGATGCAGACTGCCCGCCAAGAAAACGTCAAGGAGTCCCAGTTCACACGGGATCAAAGGCTATGGTTTTGTCTCAAGATTTGCATAGGAAACGAATACATAGGAAGGCTATTCAAGAATGGCAGGAAAAAAAGTTTTGGGATAAGTCTGCTCCTGAAGTAAGATCGATTTTCATTTAGCGCAACTTGTAGTAGATAAAAGCGATTTCCATGCGCACAGCGGGAGTCCTGCAGACATTTTAACACATTGACGACAACGTGACCCACATGGTGGGTCACGCAATGACTGCCACGTGGGACAATGTGACCCACATGGTGGGTCGCGGCTTAAATCTTGTTAAAATGACCGCTATCTTGGACTACAATGGTTTTGGAATTTCTCTTACGCTCTGACCCTAGAAAATACTTTTGCGTTTCTCACCCGCTTCATAGGATTACTGTAGGTATACTGTAGTTAACGATATGCATGATTTTCGCTGAAAAAAATATGACTTAGCCGTAGAAGGCATTGTCCCACGAGGCAGACAACTCAAAATGCACATTGTCGTCAACGTGTTAACACGTTGAAAAACTTGTTGAGCCTCCATATTAAAAGAATAGTTTTCGTACTTTCTCGCCATCAAAAACTGTCACGCGGATACGTTGGAAATCGTCGGCAAAGCTCCGCCCGCTATACTGTGGGGAATGGACGATACCAGCAGCAAAACTGCTTACAAAGCATAGATTCCAACGAAAAAAAAAAAAGAAGTCTCAAACAGTGTTCGAGGGTTCCTGCAACTATCATATCTGACCGACAAGTTCAAAGGTATCTACTATCGTCAAGGGTATCGCAACAAACGTTGTAACATATTTACGGATTCCACACCAAAGCATTCCGCTTCTCAGCACTTTCATCTGCACTCTTGTTGTAACTGAGAATTATTACCGGGAGTTTTTATCTGCTAATTCTTCCCACAACTTCACGCCTAATCAGTCTTACATAGATATGAAAGAGTCACACGAAATAGAAGTCGCATCTCCTTCCTTCAGAACAAATAGTCCTCGATCTATTACCCTGAGCGTTATTCTCATGAAATGCGAAGGGAAGAAATTCAAAGCTAGAAACTAAACGCTTTTTGACTTCAGCTGTTCTGAGCTTGCTCATTTGTTTTTTACTGGTTCCACCTAAAGACTGCATCCAAACAGTCATTAAGAGTGTGTATAAGCTTTGTCTAATCCTGCTATTTCATCGAACATAAAAAAGTTTTAGGTTGCGCTAAAATGCTGCTAGCCTGTAAACACTACTTAACCAAAATCTAACGGATCTTGAAGGTTTTGCCATTTACTACAAGGACGATAGCATAATGCAATCATCTGCAACATAGTCGGCAGGATGACTGATGAAAATCAGGAGATGACCTAAGCCGTTCACGGCCTTGCAGTAGGTAATGATGCCAAAAGGAAGACATTTGAACTGATGGAGATCTCCTCAAAGCTTAAAGATTAGAAAGTTTTGAAGGATTTAGGTGAAGTAGGCACGATTGGATTGTGTCAGACGAAATAAGAAGAGCAGATAAAGAACACCTTGTACGAAATTGTGGAACTGAAATCAGCAGCTCCTTTAATCACAAATTTCCGTACCATTAGCTCAAACGGACATGAAGTGCTTATAGAAAAACGGCAACAGGAGACATAAGACTGTTTTAGCGTTTAAAGCCGTCAAAGAAAACCACAAACAATAAAACGTCTGTTTATCTTGTTGAGTGCAGCAGTTTCTCTACCGCTATACTTAATAGAAAACTTAAAAAAGATACAGCTTTGCAAAAATCCCCAAGTCTATTGGAGTCACAACCAACTAGACTTTCTAACTCAAGGCACAGTAGTGATCGTGTTTTTGATTCCTTGAAAAGTATTAGAAGACTAGCACCGTACGGACTTATCTTGAGAGGGATTAGGAAAGCTGGTGCACACACCCGGCAAGCGTGCAAAGTACGCTTTCTAGAACAGACGTTGAAATCTCTGTACAGGGGTCATCAAACGCAGTGTCGCTTACATCAGCATCTCCACTCCCGCGCTGGAATCTGCTCCGCAAACATGCTCTCTAGTCAATCGATTGAGGCCCCCCTTTCCTATGCTCGCACTGGGAAAGTGATTAGAAAGCATGTTCGGGGAAAAGATGCAGAGTCCAGCGCGGGAGTGGAGATGCTGATGCAAGCGACACTCCGTTTAATAAGCCCTGTATATAAGCTTTTCGCGAATGCATCCCGCAAACATCATCATGAGTAATTCTGTGCGTTTTAGCACGCCTGCTGTAGGAAAGTTTATTTATAAACCATCTACTCAACCTCGCATCTTGAGGGCAGTGCCCGAGAAAGGCTGAGTGTAGTAGGTATCTAGTACCATATGCGAAAGCTCTTGCACACACCATCGCGCGAATGCGGAGTTACAACGTTGGAGCAGAAACGAGAGATTGACTTTATAAAATGGGATAAAGGTATAAGGTAAATCCCGCACACTTGCGATTTTTTGCTTAGTAATAGAGTGTGCACGCCTGGACACTGCCCTCTAGTTGGCTTAGACAAATTACTTGCAGACAGTAAAATCGGCATCACTAATAAAGGTTAAGAAACACAGGTTCTAATTCATTTCTTTCAAGTGTTTAAAATATCGTGGACTGCTAATACTTACTTCTCGAATTACAAAGTAGAGTGGCCATTACCGTTGACGATACAATTGGCAATGTCAGCCATACTAGGCATAACAAGTTGTATATGACTAAAGATAGAGCAGAACTTGGTGGTCTGCATGATTTTTTTTGGTGTGTAAAACTGACCGTGAGTGAAGTAAACCATACAAATGAAAGCAATTGTGAAAATAACTAGTAAACCTACTCTGGCAAGTCCACTGCCAACGGATATTGAAGATTTGCGACTATTCATTTGAGTGCAATCCTACAGCAGCGCGGTCACCTTAAATGATCACTTGTTGCATGCAGTACAAAAAGCAACGTATTGCGGAATGAACTTCCGCCCGTGTTCAGAATCAGTCCAAATCAACGTAAATTTCTCCAGAACGGTATTGGAAATAAAACGTTCTGTTGCAATTGACAAATTTCGGCAAAATTATGGTCAAAAACCTGTGAAAACGATAAAGAGCAAATTCGTAGAGTGTTAAGTCATTCATCAGAAACCGTCAAACTCAACAAGCGGTAGCTTAAAACAACTTATAAGTCATTCAGCAGAAACCGTCAAACTCAACAAGCGGTAGCTTAAAACAACTTACAAGACAGGGCTCTTTTATTTTTTAAAGACTCACATAGCGCTGAAGTGAATTCTGAAAATGGTAACAGCCGAGTCTGCCTTTTTCCCAAATTCAGGTATAGGGGAATCGAAAAGTCTGACGCGACCGCGCGTGACATGCACACATACGGCAACCGCATTTTTGACTCTTATCTCTCTTCGAACGGTTCTTCTGCTTACTTATTATAGTACCAGTGCGTCACCTCTGCTTCGCAGAGGTTCGCACTGGTCCTACTATCCGTATGCGTTACTCATTCCCGTAATAATGACATTGATACTTACCGCGCTATGCAGACTATCACGATGGATTTGTGAACAACTACTCATTCCTAAGACTTTTTCATGTGAGATCGGTAATTTCGCTTGGATGAAACTTTTCCCAAAAGAACAAATGCAGATTTAAATCGGTTCTTGAACTTTTCATGGCTTGGTTTTTGCCAGAAGATACAATAATCAGTGTGGGCTATATCTCCGTGCAAAAATCCTCTCAAATGATCGGATAAAATCTTGGCAAACTGAACATTTACGCAACAAATGCTTTTTGGCGCCGTTTTCGCAAAATAATGAACTTTAGTTCAATTTTTCAGGCTAAAGTCCATGGCTTGCAGATTTGTCAAACATATCCGTGACTTTGCAAAAGGTCTTGCTAAAGGCTCAATTTTACTGACCAAAAACCAAGTGGATCCGTCTGACGTGTGATTTTCAAAAGATCCACTGAACGGATACGCTCAAGATTTGGTATATTGGACTCTCATGCTGCTAGCATGCGCCGTGCAAAATTTGGGCTTAAGATGTTGGCTGGCAACTGTTCCACGAATTTCGTGACGGACACACACACACACACACACACACACACACACACACACACACACACACACACACACACACACACACACACACACACACACACACACACACACACACACACACACACACACACACACACACACACACACACACACACACACACACACACACACACACACACACACACACACACACACACACACACACACACACACACACACACACACACACACACACACACACATAGAGGCTCGCACTGGCTCTACTATATATGTGTCTTACTCATTCTCGTAGAATCGTTGCACTGAAACTCACCGTGCTATGCCTACTACCACGAATGAAATGTAAACAACTACTCATTTAAAAAGCTTTTTCACATGAGATCGGTGATTTTGCATGAAGGAAACTTTTCGCAGGAAGATAAAGGCAAATTTGAATAGGTTTTTGAATTTGTCATCGTTTGATAGTCGCCATAAAGCAATAGACACCGTGAGCTACATCTCTGTGCGAAAATCTCCTCAAATGCTTTTCTAGAACCTTAGCAAAATGACTAATTACGCAGGCAATACTTTTTGGCGCCGTTTTTGTAAAGTAATGGACTTTTGGCCACTTCTTTGGGCCCAAGTTCATGGCTTGCACATTTACTTGCCATAAACACCCACCACTCTGCAAAAAGTGGAATTACGGATCCAATTTTGTGGGCCAAATGCAAAGTGGATCCGTTTGACGCGCAATTTTCAAGAGACCCACTCAACGAATCTGCTTGTGCTTTTGCATGTTGGACTTTCATGCCAGTAGCAAGTGCTGTGCAAAATTTGAGCCCAAGACGTTGGCTGGAACACGCTCTACGAATTTCGTGACAGACAGACATTCAGACACACACACACAAAAACACGTTAACACTCTTAGCGCGTTATTATAGTAGGATAGGCCGTCCCACACGGTGCAGAGAGTGCGCGGGGTGTGTACTGCGCGTCACTCTTCTTTCCTCGTGCACCCTCGCCGCTTGTTTTCTCTGCGCCATTTCCAGTCATGAACTATCTCAAAAGGATGCAACAGCGTTGCTCTCTGAGCACAGCGTGGATGGCTTATATTTTAACACTGGAAGTGACTGATCTGAGCATTGGGGTTATGCCTTTCGAGCTGAGCATTTAGCTTATGCCTTTTTGTATAAGCTTTACGTCCCTGTGGGCGCAAAGACCACAGTCAAATCCTTCGTTACAATCTTGTAAATCTTATATATAAAGCTGAATGTCTGTTAGTCGTCTGTCTGCATGTATGTATGTGTGTACGTATGTTCCGAATAGAAAATTCCATTTCTGAACCGATCCGGATTAAACTTGGCACACATACACTTCGGGCCCCGGCGGGTGTCATAGGCTACTTTTCGTTTCGATCGATGTCGATTTTTATCGATTTTTATCGATTTTTTTGCAAAGTTTGAGCTACGGGGCTGGGAGTTGGCACAGGGGGGGGGTAATCGAGCATGCTGATCACCCCCCTTGGGGTGATTTTGCTTTTGCTCAAATTTTCAAAAAATCGATAAAATCGATAAAAGTAATGGACGATCTTGAAAACTAATATTGTATTCGTAATCTGCATGCTCGATTACCCCCCTGTGCCAATTCCCAGCCCCGTAGCTCAAATTTTCAAAAAATCGATAAAATCGATAAAAGTAATGGACGATCTTGAAAACTAATATTGTATTCGTAATCTGCATGCTCGATAAGCAGTGGTATCAACGCAGAGTACTCGTAGCTCAAACTTTGCAAAAAAATCGATAAAATCGATAAAAGCAATGGACGATCTTGAAAACTAATATTGTATTCGTAATCTGCATGCTCGATTACCCCCCTGTGCCAACTCCCAGCCCCGTAGCTCAAACTTTGCAAAAAAATCGATAAAATCGATAAAAGTAATCGATAATCCTGAAAACCAATATTGTATTCGGAATCCCCATGCTCGATTACCCCCCTGTGCCAACTCCCAGCCCCGTAGGTGAACTCAGCAAAAAAATCGATAAAAATCGATAAAATCGATATCGATCGATGACGAAAAGTAGCCTATGACACCCGCCGGGGCCCGAAGTGTATGTGTGCCAAGTTTGGTCCGGATCGGTTCAGAAATGGAATTTTCTATTCGGAACATACGTACAGACATACAGACATACATACATACAAACAGACATTCAGCTTTATATATAAGATGCGGGCCCTAAACTCTACGAAAAAAAAGGGCGTAGCAGCAGCCACGTCCCCGAAAAAAATTTTACAAAGCTACTTTGAATTTTTGAAAATTTTCGAAAATTATTTCATTTATTTACAAGTAAAAACAAGTCGCTTGCACATTTTATAGCATATGTAGGTACCAGTGGCGTACAGAGGGGGGGGCGGGGGGGGGGGCGCGCCCCCCTCCCCCCCCGAGAATGGGTCGCGAAATTTTTGAAAGTTACTTATATGGGTTATAAAAATGTGCAAGTGACTTTTTTATTTTTGTAAATAATTAAAATATTTTTTAAGAAATTTTGAAAATTCAAATTAGCCTTGTAAAAAAATTTTTTTCGGGGGCGTGGCTGACGCCACGCCCCCTTTTTCCAGATTTTAGGGGTCGGGGACCCGAAAAAATTTTGAGAAGCACCCCCGAAATTTTTTCGGAGTGCGTGGCTAACGCCACGCACCTTCCTTAGAAAAAAATTTTTGTCGCCCCCCCCCCCTCCCGAGCCGAAATTCTGGGTACCCACTGGTAGGTACCTTCAGAAATTTTGCGACCCATTCTCGGGAACCCCCTTGGTTCGCCTTAGGTTGTAGCGTATCTCGTAAGCAGACTCTATCTGCAAGACTACAGACTACAGAAGAGTAACATAGTACTGACTTGAACTTATAGCTGAAGAAATATATTGCTGAGGTGATTGAACAATTTGCTGTAAATTCGCCTAACTATCCGAGTAAAACAGTGCGAAGTTTGTAGGTATTATCGACAGTAGCTTGTATATGGTCAGCACCCCTTACAAAAGCAATTGCTTTGCGCTCTCAGTCATGAAGGTAATACGTTTGCAGGCAATCATAACAAATTCAGGAGCTATTTCAGTGGTCCGGGCCCCAAAATTCCAAACGGAGTTATTTGACTTATTGGTCTAAATATCGTACTCTTATTGCATTGTGTGGCCTCTTCGGAGTTTCATATGTATGTGCGAAGAGGACAAACATCTTGTCAAAATTTGTTCTGAAGGGGATTCAACATGTTGATCACGTATATCAACTTTGACGCTCAAAACCATCATCATCTGTGGTCATGACAGGTTTAATGTACTTACATAGATACATAGAAGTCCGACTTCACACATCGATTAGACAAGCACAAAAGTTCCCCTTGTTCCTGTTCCTCGCTTCAAACGCAACGATTCTTACTTGCCGTCAGTGGTTGCGTCCATGAGTTCTTGGTACGAGAACCATATCCGCACGAATTGTCAGCTGGTCCATCCGTGTCATAAACAGGTTTGCCCATCTCGTTGCTGGTCTCCTTGGGGACGTTTTGCTTCTCCATTCTAATGTTCTTAGTGTTAGTCTGTCGTCTATTCTCCTCATGATGTACCGACCCATCAATGTTCATTTCGCAACATCTCTGATTCGTACTGCGCAGTCCAACGAGTCTTTGTTGGGGACATGAGTGAACAGGTGAGCTTAAAGCATCGGAACTATGCCGGTCGGTGGCTTCCTTTAGGAGCACGAATGCGACCCAGGCTGCTCTTGTTCTCCCGCTACAATTATTTTTCAAGTCGTCTCCATGTTTATTGAACATGAAAAACGACTTAAAGGAACTCAAAAAAACATCTAAATCATGCAAAATGACCTCCATAGCCTGAGCGCCTTTCAGTTCATATCCACGCGAAATTCAGTGTGTCGTTAACACTGGGCTTCATCCAGTGTCTTTGACATGCAAGCGAGCATACATTCTAAGTAAAAAGCTTGTAACACTACATTAACAGGCATAAACAGGCTCTCGAACTCCCGTTCTCTCTTCTCACGGAGAAGGGTTTTGGAGGTTCTGCACTAGTCGGGAATCCTTTTTTTCTGAAAGCAAAATGTCAATTGCGACGCAAAAATCTCGTGTAGAGGATCGTACGCAAAAGTTCGACAACAATAATTTGGTCCCGGAGCGTTCGAAGCCCACGGTCTGAATCACCTTGCGCAAACGATACCCGTGATCAGACTGTCCATCTCCTCAGAACAATCCTAGCAATAAGTAAAGGCTGTATGTGACTCACAGGGAAAGCGGGGTGGAGGACATTAGGTCGCCGAAAGAGGGCGT